AATGGATATTTCCACCTCCTAAAACAATCTCCCTAGCACCTTCAATTCTCACCACCTGTAAAACCAATAGAGAAAATCAAACAAGTTTAGTTAGTGAGGAAATAATAACACGGGCAAGTTGACGCATGAGAAATAACGATGTCAATCAGCATCAACTATCATGGCATTAGAGATCAATAGTTTGCTCCCCATGGCAATGAAAACAAGTACATCAATCTGCATCAACTATCATGGCATTAGAAATGAATAGCTCGCTCCCCATGGCAATCAAAACAAGTACATTCCATAAATGTTGAAATTGTTCATTATGTTTAGTGAAGAATGTGATTTCACAGTTGGCATATTTTAGTTTTGTAGTGCAACTCTATTGCAAGATGCCAGCATTGGAAATAAATACACATAGATTACAGGATCCAAATCTATGTTTCCATTTTCCTCAAATTTTCCCAGCTAGGTTCAAGTCCCTTGTATTTAGAGTTGCTATTTTCGTTGTGTATAAAAACTTTGTTGTTTATTTATCTTACCATTATAGTCTATCCCTTGAGTGTTGATTAGGCAAAAACTTATTGTTGCTGATAATAATAAAAATAATAAAGTAAAGACTTACTGTTTGGTACACAAATGAACTATTTTTATCTTTCTTTTTGAAAAAAAGAAAAAAGAAAAAAGAAAAAAAAAAGAGAGAAACTGTCTTTTTCTGTTTCCCCATGAATATCCATGTTTTATCTATATAACAAGGATGATTTTAATGGTGAATCCATCCACACATTTTGCATAAAAGACTGCAACAAAAGGGATATCAAACAGAAGTACTTGCTTACTTCATGCTTTGGAAAGGTTTCAGACAGGACACGGACAGCTTCATCGTCCCACTTTTGATCGCCAAATTGAGGTGCAATGATTCCTCCATTTGCAATGTAGAAGTTTATGTATGAAGCAGCAAGTCTTGTACCTGCATGTCTTGGTTTAGCCTCCCCATCCTGAGGTAGAAAATTGAAGACCAGAAATCAGTGAACTAACAAGATTGAATTGCATCTAAGAATCAACCTGTTTGGCAGAAGACATAACTAGACTACCAAGTTCATAGGTTACAAATTCTACAGGATAGAAGTTCTAAAGAATCTTCAGTGGTTTATTCTGAAATCCTATTTTCCTTTTCTAGACAGTTAAAAAGGCTGTAATCATATTATTAAAAACTGATGAAGCAAGGAAATCAGAAGAGCAATAGGAGCACTGTGGGGTATAATATTCTCTCAAGAAGCCATTAGAACAAAAGGCTTGACAGAAAAGCCTGCCCCAAGAGGAAGATGATTTGCACTGGTTACTAGAACCAGAAACATTAAAGAGAAGTACTGCAGTGTAAAAGCTTCATTTTTCTTTTTTGCACAGCAGCAGTGTAAAAGCTTACTTGACTGACTCCAGCTGCTTCTTCCTCAGTCATATAGAGAGGCCCTGGCACATGAAGTTTAACTACTTGTAATTTCCGACCACAGGCATCAGTAGTATTGGTGAGCACAGACAAGGCTTCCACAGACCGCTTATACTGAGGATCATTATTGTCATCAGTCCAAGACAACAAAACCACACCAGGCCTTGCAAAGCAGCACATATTATCAATATGACCATTAGTATCATCATCACCTGTTAAATGCAAATAAAACATCTTCAATTTCAGTAGACAAAGCAAAGAGAATATGGGCTGCTATTCTGAGTTTATATAGTTATGGAAACAAGAATAACTGAAAATATATTGCTTAGAAAGAGACTTCAAAAAGGCTTGCGTGAGCTTTTTCGAATTAAGCAATAAATCTGGATTAAGTATTAAGCAACAGTCATTTAAATTGCAAAAAAAAAAGTGTTTTTCAGGTTCAACTGCACAATAAAAGTGCAGCTCGACCTATAAATTTATTAAAATACCTTTAATGATACCTTTTCCTTTTTTATTTCATTAATTTCAGTACCCGGGCTGCACTTTTATTGTGCAGTCCAACCTGAAAAACATGAAACTCTTTAGATTGAGCACAAACTTTTCAATCATATGCCACTTTAACTGTAGGAAAATGATTGCACATAAGCTTCACTTCTAGATCGGTTTGAACTTCAGATTCTAATGTTTGCGAATTGATAATTGACAATGTTCATGATGGTGGGGTCATAAACACAATGTTAACTTTTATCTTGAAAAGGCATGCATTTTATATTTTAGAATAACATATGGATAAATCAATAAAAATGTAACACTACAGCTATTGAGTGCTGTATAATCCTTAAGCTATTGATGAGGAACAAGAAGAAGCTATTCAATAGTTATTTAGATTA